AGAGGAGGTGGAAAGACCGTAAGAGCCAGTGGGGATAGATGATACCAAGGAAACAAGGTCTTCCAGACACAACAGGACTAACATGCATGTGAACTCACAGAGACTGTGGCAGCATGCACAGGGCCTACCTGTGTCTAAGTCAGATGGGGTCTCAGTGCTGAGAGGGGAAGCAGACACAAGACCCCATCCCTAACCCAGAAGCTATCTCCAGTTGATAACTGCTCACAAATGAAAAATTAGTTTTCCTTGGGATTTCTGTGTGTGGGAATGTGTGTCTGTGTCTATATGTGTTCCTTGTGCTTTTTCTTTGAATCTTTTCCTCCCAGATGTTTGCTTCATCCTATTTCAGTTTGTTTTTATTTTATCTTATTTATTATTATTATTATTATTTTTAAGATGTCTGTTTGTATTCTTGAGAGAGAGAGAGAGAGAGAGAGAGAGAGAGAGAGAGAGAGAGAGAGAGAGAGAGAGAGGATATGATTTGGGTGGGAGTAGGGGATGATATGGGAGGAGTTGAGGGAAGGGAAATCATAGTCAGATTACATTGTTTAAAAAACAATCTATTTTCAATTTTACCAAAGGGAAATAAGTGGCCTAAGTGTGTTAAGTGGAGTTATCACAGGAGAACCAGCTCTAAAGGCAGCATTTAGTTTAACAAACAGCAGCCTTCTCATAGTGTCAATTGGACTGTGGCTCTCCTCTGAAATGCTTCCTTGGAAAAGCATCATTAGGCAAACTTGGTCAGATCATAGCCACAGTTTTTCCTGGATGAGGATGACGTGGCTATCCCTACATTCAAATACATTCTGTTTAACATGGTTACTATTTGTGGACATCAGAAGTTCAATTTCTCTTTTATTAACAAATACATGATTAGATTATTTCAAGCAATAGCTATGTGATGTGATGATCCATCAAGAGAATCCAAGCCCTTCTGAGTGCTCCAAGAAATAGACTATGCCTGTTTCCTGATAACACTAGTTAACCTTTAATATCTGGGTTAGGATACTCCTTAAGAGTGTTTACTCCATGCTAAGATGCCAATAGAACATCTATATCATACCTCCTCTGCAGTGCTTCAGGATCCGTTGTGGAGAGGGGACAGAAAGGTTGTACAAACCAGAGGATCACAGTGTAACAGCATTTTCTGGACACAATCAGACTGCTGCTCTCATGAACTCACACAGCTGTGGTTGCTTACACAAGATTAGCAGTCAGTGTCCAACTTCCAGGTGGGAAGGATTCACTAGTGCCCACCTTTTGCTGAGGAGCCATCAACAGTTGATGGATTCTAGGGGGAAGGAACGTCAGTTTTCCTTAAGGGTGTGGTCCCTGGCAGGTGAAACACACTCCAGAAGATGGCCCTGCATGCAACAGTATATGAGCAGCACACTGTATCAGCAAATTGTTAAAAAAAAAAAAGAGGACACAAAATTGGAAGGATATGAGGGCTACCAGAGGGTTCTTGAAGGTGGTGCAAGAAGAATTGGGGGTGAACAAGACAAAATGATGTGTGAGATGATTAAAGAATTAGTAAGAATACTACATAGCATCCTTTTGTATATTAAAATATATTTGGTCAGGCGGTGGTGGCGCACGCCTTTAATCCCAGCACTCGGGAGGCAGAGGCAGGTGGATCTCTGTGAGTTCGAGGCCAACCTGGGCTACCAAGTGAGTTCCAGGAAAGGCACAAAGCTACACAGAGAAACCCTGTCTCGAAAAACCAAAAAATATATATATATATTTGATTTAAACTTTTACTTCAGTAATCATCTGTAGCTAATGGATACCATGCCACTCAATGAGAACTCCATTTATTCCTCCTGTTTAGCATGAGTAAGGAGAAACTCAGAAAAGTTATCTATATAATTCCTAAGAGGCAAAATCAAGACTAAAATTTAGACTTTGTGATTACTAAAACAATGCTGTCTGTATGGTGTTCAGTGGTATTTCTATGTGTCTATGTGCATCCTTAAAAGGGCGATTAATTACATTTTAAAATGAGTAGTACTTTTTAAAAAGTACTAATTTAAAAAAAGGTTCAACATGATAAGTCATCTGGGAAATGCAAGTTAAATGGGTGATTTGAATTAACCAAATGATAATATTTGGTGTTGGTGAGTGAGATAATCTTTTCACATCCATTGAAAAGAATGATAATTATAATACCGTGTTGTAGGAAATCCATTTTATGGCAAACATGCTTCTAAAACATTTCAGCTTTGGTGCTATCTGAAATGCTAGTATATACATAAAGAAATATGTTCAGGGGCACTAAAATAGTGCAGTGAAATCCTAGAAGCACCTACAGGTCTAGGAGTAGAAAATAAATGATAATTACAAAAAAATGAATGAGTTCTGTCTACACATTCTCCAGTGGAATTATGTCCAAACACACTATTGTTAAGGAATAAAACATAAGATACAGAAAACAGAAAAGTGCATATATAATAGTATCATTTATATAAAATGATGGAGGAAAGTTATGACTTCATATACTGTGTAAAGATACTGGAAGAAAGTTAGTTGGAGATGGGGTGACCAATAAAAGCTGACTTCTTTTTTGTGATTTTAGTTTCATATTTGTTGAATTTGTCTCTATTCACTGACATTCTACATAGGAGATCTTTAAGGCAATGCTTATTTTTGAACATTACATTTAAGTTAATACACTTGATCTGAAGAAATGATTTTATTTATGCGGTCATCAACAGCTTAAATTCCTATGTGCCTTAGACATTGGGTTCTTGGTATAAAGCAGTGAACCAAACAGGTAGATTCTTGGACCTGCTAGACTTTCCCTATAGCAGATGCAGTTTAGAAAGAAATGTGTTTTCTCTGTATAGACCACTCTGACTTTCTTTCTTTCCCTTTCTTTCTTCTTCCTTCCTTCCTTCCTTCCTTCCTTCCTTCCTTCCTTCCTTCCTTCCTTCCTTCCTTCCTTCCTTCCTCCCTGCCTCTCTGTCTCTCTCTCTCTCTCTTTTCTTTTCTTTTCTTTCTTTTTTTTGGGGGGGAGGGTTTTCAAGACAGGGTTTCTCTGTGTAGCTTTGGCCGTCCTGGAACTTGCTCTGTAGACCAGACTGACCTCAAACCCATAGAGATCTGCCTGCCTCTGCCTCTGCCTCACAAGTGCTGGGATTAAAGGTGTGCACCACCACCACATGGCCCACTCTGCCTTTTATACTGTTCTCTTCCCCACACTTCTGATCAACCTCCTGCTCTTCCTGACTCCATGAAGAAGTGTAGGAAGGACTGTACAGAGGGTACATTCATAGCCCTCTACACCAGTCTCTGCTTCACAACCATACACAGGTGACCCAAGGATCAGGGACAAACAGAACAATGTCAGCAAAACAGACTTTCTTCAGCTGTCCCAGAAGTGTCTAAATCTTTTCTGTGACAGTACCTAAGGTAGAAAGCCACCAACTTCAGAAATGACCGACCGACTTAGCAAATGTGTTGCTTAAAGCATATACTGTTGTAAGTTGCCAGCAGCCTACACTTAGACAACTGCCAGCTTAAATAGTTGAAGCTCAGAGCCCCCATACACGTTCTGCACACGATCTGTAGTTGGAATTTTTCCGGTGGCACTCCCTCTATAATAATGAAGAGAATGCCAGGCCATCAGAATGTCCTTTGAGGCTCTTCCACCAGCTGCAACTTCAACACTGTGTTAGGGCTTCCACAGCAAGACTGCCCACACTGGTGCCTGTAGACTGAATTCACGCTTCTGGGCAGCCTCTGAGAACCATTGTTTATAGTTCATAGCAGTTAAAGTCCACTCCTAGTCTCTCAAGCCTACAAATGGAAACCCCTCAAGGCCCAGCTGTTAGAACAACTTCATACTGTCATCATCAGGAAAGACAAATGCCTAACTCAAAGAAGGAAGTATTCTTCAAAAATCCTGATGTATCTCAGAGCAAAGAACGAAACGTTATTGATGATCTTTGCCACAGGGTGATGGTTCTCCACCTGTAACTTCTCGCAGTTGAGAACAATTCAAGCTTACACCTAAAGGCTCTCTGTGTGTGAAACAATGCATCATGACACTAAAATCCAGTGTCACCCCCACCTCTACCAGCTTGTGTGACCTAAGTCCCTATTTTCTACTTTCTTTCCTATGCTCTATCTGCCTGGAATGGCTTCACTGGTCTTTCTTCCTTATCTCAACTTCTTATAAATTGCTGTTCTGTGAAGTCTTCCCTGAGTTCCAAATCAGTGTCCTTTCTACTCACATCACTAATGGAGATCCCCATACTCTACTGTATAATTTGTTACATAGCATCACTATTGCACACTTATTATTCAACTTATTTTAGCTTTATCATCTCATTTAGGTTGCCAGGCAACACATGATTACTACAGTTTAATGAATATTAATACAATTACTAATACTATGAGCATACTATGTGTAAAGCTCTATAAATACATTATCTCTTATTGTCACAAAACCTTATTAGAATATTAGTAGTGTTACTGACATTTTTATGGTTGATGAAAGTAAATGCAAGAAAGATAACAAAGACGGTTTAACTGGGGGAGTTAAAATCAAGTCCTTTCTGCTTTAAGGACAATGCTTTTAGCTGCTACCCTAAAATATTGCCTGTGAATAGTAGTGGACAGCTCTCTCTCTAAGTGCTTGCTGACCTCAAGCTCTGTACTATGAGTGCCACACACATTAAGCTCATTTGATGCTCCCCCAAACTCTGGGACCTATGTATTGTGGTTATAATACCAATTTTTTAAAAGTGCAATTAAGGCTTAGAACTGTTAGTGATCTCCCCAAGGTCAAAGGACTGTGGATACGAATGCAAGTGAATCTCCCTTCAGAGCCTGAGTCCTAACCCACTCATTGATTCCCTGGCTAAATGACAGAGTGGACCTGAATCTTTGAAAACACTATATACATTTTTAAGAATAACTCCCTGGAACAAAACTAAATCACAACCTCTTCTGAGCAATGCAAACCAACCAAACCGATCCCCGTCACCCACACTCACCTTAGCACATGTGTGGATCCATTAATGGTTGTGGTTGAACATGGGACAGTCTGGCCCAGAATGGAGGGTCTTCTGTAGCGTTCATCATCACAGCAGAGGATGACGAGGAAGGCACGTCTAAAAGACTTATTCAAGAAGGCATAGAGAAAAGGGTTCAACCCTGAATTGATATAGCCAAGCCAAAGGAAAGCAGTCCACACCTGCTCAGGGACACTGTAGTCTATGAAAGGGTCCACAACATTGGTGACAAAGAAGGGAGCCCAGCAGAAACAGAAGCAGCCCATGATGATGCATAAAGTCTTGGCTGCCTTGGTCTCTGTCCGCATGCGATGTGTGCTGTGCTGGTCAGCTGGCTGGGGTCTGCTTTCAGGGGTGGTTCCTGCTCGTTGTAACATCTGGATCTGCTGGGCATGCTCCTTCGCAGTGACATAGATGCGGTAATAGGCCAGCACCATGAGGAGAAACGGGATGTAGAAGGCCACCACGGAGCAGGTGATGGCGTAGGGCTTGTTGACCATGAAGACACAGAATGTGGAGTTAGAGTTGTGGTTGAGTTCCCTTTTCTTTATCTGAGAGTGGGAGGGAGAGAAAAAAATGAGGGTAGGAAGGTGAATGGGGAGAAAACCGTGAAGAAAATGAAGAAAGTGAAAAAAAAAAAACATGGGAAAAGAAATAATGGGAAAAGACAAGAGGAAGAAGAAGATAAAAGAACAATGCAAGAGTGAAAGAAGGGGAAAGAGAGAAAGAAAAACGAGGTTTAACATCAAGTTTTTATTTTTCTTACAAATCTATAGCACACAGGACTTTCATGGTAGAAAAAGAATGTGTTCCAGAGTTCAATGAGCTTGTCTGTGTGAGGTCTCAGGGAAAAAAAGGAAGGCATAATCAGTAATCATTCTCAATTCCATCTACCCATTCTTCCTTCCTTGTCTGACTGTGTATAACATATGAATATCCCTTAATAGTATGTCTTAGATCACTACCATCAGATAGGTTTATGATACGCACAGAATGTCATGCTAAGCCTATAGGCTGAAGATGATGCCCCAGCACTGCGGAGAAACCTCAGGTGACTGTCCAGGCAGCTGGCTGTTTCTGTCAACTCACAAATTTTTTTTTGGAAGTTGCTTGTATGCACTTCCTGGTTTTATTTTTGTTAGCTAATATTTATTTCCTTCTTGGGTCTCTGAGGGAGTTGAAGATTAATTAGTTATAGTTGAAGGTTAGTTAGCCATAGTTGAAGATTAATTAGGATAGAAAGTGAATTAGATACATTTTGGACTTAACAAAATAGGATAGATAATGAAATTATTTTCTTTGAATTTGTCAAATACAAATGGACTAGACATTGTTTAGACATTTATTACTTGTATATATTGTATATAGTTATTGTACTTTTGTATATAGTTTTTCTTTTGTTAGTTATAACCTTTTTCTTTTTTTCCTTTTTATTAAAATAGAAAAAGGGGAAATGTGGTGGTATTTTACTTGTACTGAAATGTGATTTTAATTGTATGTTAATAAATAAAGTTGCCTGGGGGTCAGAGCTATTAGAGCCATAGCAAGTGCGTGGCGGCGGTGGCGCACGCCTTTAAGGACCTGGAGGGCGGTACATACAGGCAGTGACGAGGCAGTCACATGTTTGGGTTTACAACCAATGAGAAGGCAGAACAGCTAGAGTATATAAAGACATACACACAGGAAGTAGATCCCTTTTGGAGAGCTCTCTTGGCTGAAGAGGATCCCTGAATCAGGAAGGGTGAGGCTCTTAGCTCTGACCTCTTGGCTTTCTTCTCTGAATCGGCTCTGTGTTTCTTATTTAATAAGACCATTGGTTACATCTACAGAATGTGACCTCTCATATAGATCAATTTCTCAATATCTTCATTTTGGCTGCCACATTTTTAAATAATAAATTTGTTAATGTTTGAAAACTTCGTCTTGTATCATTTGAAATCCAGATCTTTGGGGGGATGCTGGGATCTTTCCTGTTTCTTTGCTTACTGGATACACTGATGAACTTTTCCCATTTAGGAAATATAGTACTCAAATCGATGTAGAGAAATGATCAAGTCAGGCATGAGGCTTGAGAGAAAGAAAAGGTAGATATTTCACAACCATGGAAGACATAACACAGTAGTTGACCTTTTACCCATAGTTTCACTTTTCAAGGTTTTGTTACTTGTGGTCAACAAGTTCTGATATTGGATAACTAAACAATCCCTAGTTTTTAAATTGTATGCCATTCTGTGTAACATTATGAAATTCTACACCATTCTCCTCTGTCTCAAGTAGGAAAGGAGTCATCCCTTTGATCAGCATGTCTACATTATATATGTCACACAATCATTAACTACTTAATAGCTTTCTCAGTCATTAGAATGACTATTGAGGTACTTGTATTCAAGTAGCCCTTATTTCACTTAACAATGGCCCAAAGCACAAGATTGGTGCAATTTTATGACAGCATGTAGTTATAATTGCTCTACTTTATTGTAACTGTTGTTATTGATCTCTTTCAGTGCCTGATTTGTAAGTTGAACTTTACCATACGTGTGTGTGTGTGTGTGTGTGTGTGTGTGTGTGTGTGTGTGTGTGTGTGTGTGTGTGTGTAGGGAAAATATTGTATGTGTGTGTGTAATAGTAGTAGCAGTGGTGGTGGAAGTGGTGGTAGTAGTAATAGTAGTAGTAGTAGTAGTACTAATAGTAGTATATGTAGTAGTTTCAGGAATCCCCAGGGGGTTTGGAATGTATTACCTAGTGAATAAAGGAATATTCATCCTTGCTTCCTATTTTTTACTGAATCCAATCCACTTATGTTTTATTTCCAGTCATTCCATTCAAACTGCCTTGGTCAAGACCTCCACAAATCTAACTCTTATTTTAAATCAGCTATTTAATGTATTGATGTATCTGAGCCTCAAAGTCTTCCTTACAGATCCATATTTTATTGAAGTAAAAGACATTATACAAAATATTAAATGTGTATGGTGAATGAATTTTACAAAGTAAAAGTACATCTGTAGTCATACATGTACAAATCAAAGTATAGAATATTAGTGGCATCTCTAATGCCTCACAAATTACCCTCTCAGTCATAACCATATATTTTGTTGTTGCAGTCATGTGGCTCCCAATGGGCTGTATCAATGAATAGTTCTGCCACTAGGCTAGGAGCACTCCAGTTACCCCACATCCTAATCAGCACTTGTTATTGTCTATACATAGCTATACCTCATTGTGGGCTTGTTTGATGTTTATTGAAAGTGTTATCCATTTTCTTCTCTCTATCTCTTTCTTTCTTTCTCTCTCTCTCTTTCTCTCCCTCTCCCCTCTATCTCTCTCTGTCTCTCTCCTCTTTGTCTCCTCTCTGTCTGTCTCCTCTCTGTCTGTCTGTCCCTGTCTCTCTCACTCTCCTTCTCTCCCCTTGCCCCCTTTCCTCTCTCTCTCTCTCTTTGTCTGTCCGTCTGTCTGCCTGTCTGTGTGTTAGTTCTTTGAGAATTTTAAAGAATGTGCTTTGAAAATATTCACCCTTCCTCCCCCAAGTCTTTCCAGATCAGCTCTCTTCCCTTTTCACCCAAGTTTATGTCTTTTTATTTTCTGTCAAGGCCAATTTGTGTTTCCCAAATATACTTGGATTGTGGCCTTCCCTTGGAGCTTGGTAGACTTATCAAAGGCTACACTTTTAGGGAAAATTGATCCTTCCTCTCCCAGTATCTAATAACTGCCAACAGCATCACTGCCAGAGGCAAGACTTCATGCCTTACTCCACTGTCTGGCTTGCGTTTGCATAGATCTTATGCATGCTGTCATAACCACTGTGAATTTATATGTGCAGCTGCTCTGGTGTATTCAGAAGACACTATTTTGTTGTAGTCATCCAAAACATCTGACTCTCATATTCTTTATGCAATGATCCTTGAGTCTTTGGAGGGGGAAGTGTGGTACATATGTTCTTTTTAGGACTGAACATTTTATAGTCTCTTATTCTCTGTACATTGATTAGGGATGGGTAGCTATGTTGATGAAGGTTGAGAGATGCCTTAATCTATGTGTATAATGTCATTAGGAGATAGTTTAATGGTATATCCATTTAGCAGAATAATAGTAGTAGATTCTTTTCCTGAGTCTATGACCTGTCCATCCATAGGCTCTTTGCCTGATAATGAGGGCAGGTATGGGTTTCATCTTGTGAACATGGCCATAAATTCAATCAGAAAGTGATTGGTTATTCCTACAAGATTCATGCCACTATTGCACCAGTGGGTATGTCTTTCTAGGCCAGTCGTTATTATAGTTTACAGAATTCACAGCTGTGTATGACTAATGATTATTTTTCTCCTCTGGTAGCATGTATAACCTCTGCTAGTACTGTGAAAGCTAGACAGTAGGGATGAATCTTCCAAGTCAGTATTGGCTTGATTTTCCATGTTTTATGACTCAAGGATGTGGTGTCTTCAGCAATAGGGTCTTACTATCAAGTTCTGATGGGTAACAGGATGGTTGGCAACAGCCTTTATTGTGTGAGCATCTTGGGAAAACCCACTGGCCAACAGGTCAATCCTGAACGGTATCTTGGGCTTCCTTGTCTATATGATATAAATGTTGGAAAAGAAGAGATGAGTTTCTGCTTCTATTCCTGATTAGTGTTTTTGTTCCTCCTCTGAGACTAGATTAGAACAGTGATCTTCTTCCCAGCTTCTATTAGCCCACATTCTTGCAATTGTGTCTTCAGTCTCAATCCATGCTAGTCTTCTTAGGCTCAGTAATTGTAGAAAATGGGACTGAAAAGTTTTTCTTTAAGTAATATTTGGAATAAAAATTTTGCTGAAATTTTTCCTCATGTAAAAGCATCTTTAGTTAACATTCATTAAAAACGTATTGGCTTCTTTTGCATTTTATCAGTTATTGAGAGTTTCTAGTTACATGCAGCATGCTTTGCTCATGTTCACCAATCCACCACCTATACTCTTTCCACATCCACCACCTTCTCTATCCACTCCTCTCCCCCAACCCCCGCCCCCAAAACAGAGCCTTCCAGATCAATTTGTGCTGCCTAACATATTCTTGGAATTACGGTCTTCAACTGGAGCGTAGTCAACTTCCCAGAAGTTACACTCTAAGAGGATCTGATTCTTCCTTTCTCAGCAGCTAACAATGGCCAATCACTCCAAGGCTAGGGGTGGGATTGTGTGTGCATCTTCCCACTCCATGCTGGGATTTGGTCTGGATTAGGCTTACACAGGATTTTTATGGTGTAGTTTAAGTTGGCTTGGACCAGAATTTCTCATGCATCTGCTTCTCAAGTGCTATGGTTATAATGCATTTTATTCATCCTTATAGTTATGGTTGGGATAGTTGCTATACCTATAAATAGCATTTTCTATCCTCATTTATGATGGGCTTTTTAAACAGCTTTCTAGAATTTTCCCTCTTCTTTTGCTTCCTTCTTAGTTGTACCTCCCAACCCTCCATTTCTGGCTTTTTACTTCTTAGACATTTTCTCTTATATATCCTTATTTCCCCCAGATGATTATGTCTACTTGTATGGGTTTAAATAGCATCTAGCTCTGAGAATGCCTTAACGTGTAGTTTCTTTCTGATAGAGAACTCCCATAAATATCACGATTTGATATTAAGCTAATTTCTTGAGAGTTGCACTAAAACATCTAGCAGGCATTTAACACTTATATTGTGATTTCTGTAACCCACAAAACCTATCCTACCTATGGTATTTTCAACCTGGAATTTCCAGCTGAAATCAACAGTCATCCACTCCATTTTTCCAGTTGTGCTGACCGAAATCTTGATTGTATTGAACTAAGGTTTTCTTTTCACATGTCTGTTCTAACCATACAGAAGATCCTGTTCACATTAAAAATCTACCTACATTCTAAATCACAGTCGCTATTGCTTCCACTGAAACTACAGCACCATTGTCTCTTACCATGACATCACTTTAGCAGACTTCCTTAATGTTTGCTTTTTAACAGAAAAAAAAGTGAGGATTCTTTAAAATGTTATAAATCATACTACTAATATGCTCAGACCCTATAGTGACTCCATATCACTCACAGTTAAATCTGATGCCTTCACTGTCCCACAGAACAATGCATTATCTCCCGATTTATTTTATTTTATCATTTCTTAAGTTCCTTTCCTGCTTTCTTAGCTCCAAATTAACTTTGTAATGGCCTTCGGCAGGCACATCTTGCCTCTGGACCTTTGTATCAGCTATTTTATGTCCACTGTGTGCTAATCCAAGATACCTACTAGTATAATTCCCCCATCTCCTTAAAGTCTTTATTCAGATGTCACCTTCTCAATAGAGCCTACTCTAACTCCCTATTTAGAATTTCAATCTGCTAGCAACCCACCTTTTAAAGATTTAATATTTGGAAATTGTTTGTGTGGGGGTGGGTGCATGCACCCACATGTGGGCACGTGCATGTGTGAACAGGTTGCCAAGGAAGCCAGAGGTGTTGGATTCCCTGGAGCTGGAGTTACAGGCAGTTGTGAGTGGTGTGGGGCCTGTACACGTTCTTATTATGGAGCCATCCCTCGAGCCCCAAACTGAGGTAAAATATAGTCATTGTTGTCCAACGTTCTAGCTGTCTGCTTATTTTCAGTGTCACGCTTGCTGTTTGCGTCTCCCTGGTTGGACATCAAGTTACAAGGATTTGGCCCCTTACCAGCTCTGTTCACTAATGCAGCCTCAACGCCTAGATATGCAAGGGCCCAATAAACACAGAAGGGGAGAACATCTAAACTCTCAAAACTTCTCACACTTCAGGACACTGTCACCCTACTCCGTGTCACCCTCATCCCTTAGCAGGTCTGTTGCAGTCTCTCCTCAGTGCCTTCCCAGTTTCCTGTAGCCCTATCGCTGTTTTCTGAAGGCTAGCTATGATGGTTCTTCTGAACCCTTCAATTTCAAAGTAAAAAAAAAAAAACCCTACTATTGTTCAAAGTAAACAAAACAAACAAGCATAATCTGGCCAAAGACTACCTCTCCAACTTCTGTGTTTCAACTGAGCCAAGAACGTCCTTAATGAGGTTCACCGGAGGAGTGATTAACATGGGGCTTGATACATTGTAAGTATAAACATTTGTTGACCATTGTTATTACTGTTATTTGAATAAGAGCATTTGTTGGAAATTGGCACTTCATTTCCCCTCCAAATGCAAAAACAAACAAACAAACAAACAAAGAAGCAAAACAAAACCTAATATTCTGAAAGAAAGAGTCCGAGATTGAAGAAATAATCTACAGATTCTCCCAGGAGAGAGTCCCTGTCACTAGTATATTTTCAGCAAGAATTCCTTGTTCTGAAATGTAAGTCCTGGCCATGGGATTCATTTGGATGTCGTTTCTTATTCAAAGAGGAAGTTAAAATCCTAAAGTGTAGAGAAGAAGGGGAATTCTCTCTTCTGGTCCTTTTGGGCCAGAATTCATTCTCAGCCTCTTCTTTCTGCTCTTTCCCCACATCTAGAGGGCTGGCTTTGCGTGACTACATGTCATCCTCCATAGCCCTGGCAATGGATCCAGACCATCCGTTTTAATTGTCAGGATACCTCTTGTATGCCAGAGTAGAACTCTTAAAGATGATTTTGACAGTGAGATGGTTAATGTCATGTGTCAATTTAACTAAGCCATGGGGTGCCCAGACGTTTGGTGAAGTCCTGTTTTGAGTATGGCAACATTTTTGGTTGAGATGAAGCTCTGAACTGGCAGATTGCATAAATCAGTTCTCTTCCAATTCAGCACTGCCGTCCAACCTATTAAAGGCCTGAACAGAACAAGGAAGCTGATTGAAAGGGAGCTGCTCTATTATTGCCTTGATGAGGGCCATCCGTTTTTCCTATCTTTGGACTTGAACTGAAATATTGGCTCTCCTGAGTCTCTAGTTTGCTGAGACTTGTCAACTTCCACAACCATGTGGACCAGTTACAATACATAATACATATATACATACATACATCCTATTGCTTCTATTTCTCTGGAAAACCAATACCCAGGATTTGGACGATGCATGGTATGTGTAGCACATGTCCCCTTCACACTTATATTAGACACTATTTTCACTGAGCATCAACTTCCCTTCCTTTTTCTTTTTTGTTTTTTTCAAGACAGGTTTCTCTGTGTAACAGCTCTGGCTATCCTGGAACTCACTTTGTAGATCAGGCTGGCCTCGATCTCACAGAGATCTGCTTCCCAAGTGCTGTGATTAAAGGCGTGCACCACCATGCCAGGCCTCCAACTTCCCTCCTTAATACACTCCTTAAGGAAGTTGAGCATTAACAGAGCTGGAATCACAGATTAGCTCTCTGACTTCTGGTGCAGGACTCTTTTCATTCCCTAGCAGACTCCATTCACCTGGCGAGTCTCTCCCCAGGCACTGCAGACCTTACAGACTCTGAACATGAAATAGGATGAAGGTGTCTCAGGACATGTGATATGCCTCAAGTTCTGAGAACTGATTGTTAAACAGAGAATCCCTGTCCTCCTACAGAAAAACTACATGGCATGGGGAATGCAGCTTAACCCACTCATCTTAAATGGGCATAATTATTCTTTTCTTAAAAGGATTCTTTTGGGGTTATATGTAAAGTGCTCACTGTCCTGTCCAACATACAGAAATATTAAAAAATTATTTGAAACACTTGCTAAAGCAGCCTTTGTTCTACATTATTTTCATAAACAAGAGAAAATACTGTGATTTTTGCAGAAGGAGATTAGCTTCAACTCTAAACACAACAATGTGGGGATTTATAGCCAAGGATTTGGTTTGTGAGGATCAGTGGACAAAATTATGGACCGTAAATGTGAGAAGCAGGTGGGATTCCAGCTAAGTCAACTTAGCAGGATTCTTGCTGAAGACAAGCCAGGACAATCAGACATAACCTGGGGAAGGGGAAGGATAAAGTGCCTGGTCCTTTACTGAGGATGGGGGAGTCTAGTTAAACCAACTTACCATCGTTCTTGCTGAAACTGGGCAATGCAAAGTTGGACATAGTCTTGATTAGAATTAATTGTCAACCTGACAGAATCTAGAATCACCAGCAAGAAGGGCCTCTGGGTATATCTGTGGGGGTTTATCTTGAGCACGTTAACTGATATGGGGAGACCCATCTTAGTTGTGGGTAGGACCATTCTCCAGGCAGGGGTTCTGGAATGTGGAAGTCAAAACAGCAGACTGAGCAGTAGTGGACATTCATTGTTCTCTTTTGACTGTGGACATTATGGGACTCGCTGCTTCAGGTTCCTCCTACTGTCTTGATTTCTCTACCATGATGGACGATGGTATCAAACTGTGAGTTAAAATAAGTCATTTCTCCCTTAACTTGCTTCTTTCAGGGTATTTTATTCGCACATGATATGATAGTATATATAAGGGACCTCAAAAACTCTACCAGGGAACTCCTAAGCTGATAAACACCTTTAGTCAAGTGACTGAATACAAGATTAACTCAGAAAAAAATCAGTAGCCCTCCTATATAAAATGATAAAAGGACTGAGAATGAAATAAGAGAATCAATACCCTTTATAATAGCCTCAAATAATATAAAATACCTTGGTGTAACTCTAACCAAGCAAGTGAAAAAACTGTATTACGAGAATTTCAAGTCTCTGAAGGTATTTTCTCATAGCACAGGAAAGAAATTAAGATAGATATAGAAATCTAAACTTTGGTGCCTAGGGGGTTCATGTGATCTAAATATATTGTGTTCATGTATGAAATTCTCAAAGAATAAATAAATAAACTTTCAAAGACACAAGGTCTAGTTGGGAAGATAATTCAGAGGACCCTGGCTAACATTTTGCCGAGTTGAGACTCTCGCAGTAGACATTTAGAAATGTGGCTCAGACCAGTATTGTAATATCTCCATTAAAATAGCTAACAAATTTAGTATTATCTGCTTATCTAGAATGGCTGTCAAAGTTGACTGGCTAATTAATATCCCCATGGTGTCTGCGTGGATACTCACCACATCATCGATGCCGATTTTGTTCCAGCCTTGCATGATGGGGAGAAAAGATATAAACATGGGAATGGACCAGCAGCCTCCCAACATTAGTGCGATGCGGACAGGGGTCATCTTGCTTCTATAAACCAAAGGTTGGCAGCAGATGGCATAATATCTGGAGAGACAATGAGGGGTGGACCACGGGCAAGGAGAAATGAGAGGGAGAAGGGAAAGAGAATAGATGAGGGAGAGGAGGAAGAGAGAGGAACAGGAAGGGATGGAAAGAAGGGGCAGCATCAAAGAAAGAAGAATTGGAGGAGTGGGTAGAGAGTAAAGTAAGGAAGAAAAATTGGTAATAAATGGAAGGGCAGGTGGTAGAGGAGGAGAAAGAAAGGGAAGGGAATTGGAAGGAGAAAGGAAAGAGAAAAGACAATTATACAATAAGAATATTAGCACACAGCTTATATATTCTGTTAATACACAAATATGTTTTAGATTGCATCTGAAGGTCATTGCCTTGAGTTGGCGCCACATCCCTCTTCATCTCCCAAAGTCTTAAGCAGCTTGATCTGCATGAAAATCTACTCTACCTCAGACACAATTCCACTTTCAGAGAATGGAAAAACTTCTTGAGCCCTCCAGACCACTGGACCCTGGTACCTCTAGCCTCTGTGACTATAATTTGACCTATCTTGGATTTGTTCCCTTCCTCTTGATGGTTATGATAAGATGTTGTACTTCTGTGTTCCTTAAATTGCTGTCCAGGATTACCCCTTCTCCTTTCCCCTGCAACAGATTTATCTGAGAAGGCCAATGCAGATCCCAAGGATCTCCTGAATCAGCTTGCTAGGGAGTCACCTGGAGTGTACATTTTCACCAGTGAGTCAATGCTACTTTCAGATAAGTGCCCTCCATTCCCCCTTAAAGGTGCATGCACTTCTGGGTTTCCCTACATTAGTATGAGACCAAGTGATGGGCTTAAGCCGAGGAGTCACAAGTAGAATTCACATGCATTGTTTCTGACAGTGATCATTTAATTTTTTCTCTAAAGCTAGGCATATAAAGTTGCAAACATTTTACTGTTAGTTATTGTCTACTTGTTGAAACTATGCTCCCTTTATTTACTGGGGCCTGAGCCTTTCTTGCAATTCACTGCTCACCCTCTTTTGTGTTTATATTGTGCCTAAGGTATTAGACTTCTTCTACTTTCACAAATGGTTTCCTCTCTAACTCCCAGACTCGCAATCCTGCATGTTATTCCACCCTGTCCAAAAGTGCTATGCCTTGATTAGCATTGCTGTAGTTTAGTATGATTTGCTGCTACAGAGAAACAAATGGAAGTATCAAATTCCCTTTAAAACGTAACTTTGAGGGTGATGCTATAGATCAGTAAACAGTTTTCCAAACCCTTATACAATTTGCAGATACAGTCAGTCCTGGAAAATGTATACCTGAAGTACAGTTGGGATAGTTCCATCCTCAGGGTCTAGGGTGGGATGCAGGGATGTACCTTGCACAGGCAGCTATGGAAACTTTCTCTTGCATAGACTTGGATTGTTGAGAAAGGTGACAAAAATTCTTATTCTCTTTTTTTTAAATACTAACAATAGTAAAGAGGAGGGAATGACTTTATTTTGTTTAATTTTAAACAAGGTTAGAGAAACTCTGAGTGCTAGGTTAGTATATACACAATAAAAACGTGTGATCATGCCCAGATTCATATTTGACTTAAACTTTTTTCTCTATCCTACAGTAAGGATAATATGATTTTTTAAATTGGCATCACAGGGCAAAAAACTATGAAATATGGGATTCTTAACTAAAACTCACAAAACTGACGTGAATGCTGAAGAGTCTTACTGGCAGAATCCTCAAAAAGCCACCTTATAGATTTTGAATATATTTCCTCATATCATAAAATATTTTCTTTCAAGGAAAGAATTTAGAAAAGTTAAAAAAGAAGGAAACTGCCCTTTTATGATCTTCCTCTACAGCATGCCTGGTAGCATCATTAGTGAGAAGTTACTGTTCGAATTGGCAAGTGTTCTGAGACCACTGATAAAGCACACTGAATGCATTAATCATAACAGTTACCATTGACTTCCTTACCAAAGGCCCTATTTATATAATATTATACAATGCTCATAACTAGTGTGTGAATGAGTGTGTGTGTATGTGTATGTGTACTTGCACCTGTGTGCATTTGTGTGCAGAGGCCAGAGGTCAATCTTGGTTGCCATTCACCTGTTTTTTGAAAAAGAATTTTTTTGTTGGCATGGAACTCACCAAGTATTCTCAGCTGGCTGGCTAGAAAGTCCCAGAGGTCTGCCTGTATCTCCCTCCCCAATCCTGAGATTACAAGCATGTGCCACCACACCCAAACTTTTTACATGTGCTGTGGGGGTTGAACTTAAGTTCCTCTGGTTACATAGCATGTACTTATACTGACTATGGTATCTTTCTAGCCCCTCATGAGTTTTTAAAAAGAGGAAATACACAAATATATCCAATGAAGGAATACAAGTAAAAAGTGTGTGTGTGTGTGTGTGTGTGTGTGTGTGTGTGTGTGTGTGTGTGTGTGTGTGCATCTTGGACAATACTCTGCACTGTTAAGAGTAGCTGACATTGGGCTTAGACAGACTACCTGAAAAGCCAGTTGGACTATGACTGCTATCATTCACTCTGATATCTCTTCAAAATCTCCAACAGATTTCTTTTAATTCCTTAAATACTCACTTTAGAAATAAATAGAAAATATTCAGGATTTGAAAGATACTATATGCCCAGGTTATTTTGTAGTTTTGTCAACTAAACACAAGCTAGAGTTACCTGGGAAGAAGAACCTCAGTTGAGAAAATGCCTGTAGGCACATCTGTGGGTACTTTTTGAACTGATGTTTGATTTGGGAGGGCCCAGCCTACTGTGGATGACACTACCCCTAGTCTAGTGGTCCTAGGCGATATAAGAAAGCAGACCAAGCAAGCCACAAGGTGCAAGCCAGGGAGCAGGATTCTCTGGCGGGTTCTACTTCAGTTCCTCCATCCAGATCCCTGTCTGGAGTTCCTGCTTTGGCTTCCTCAGTGGATTATGCCCTGGGATATTTAAGTCAAATAAATCATTCCTCCATGAACTGCTTTTGGTCATGATGTTTATCACAACAACAGAAAGAAAATGAAGACACTCAGAAATGCAAAATGCTTAAATCCCACTAAAGTGAGGTATGTATCCAAGCCTCCTGGAATTTACCAGGACCCGAGGATTCAATAAGTTCTACCAGAGGCTGTTATAAAACTAAGAGTATCCTGAAGCTAATAAATTTCTGTCTAAAAATGATTTTCTGTTTCTTCTAGTATTATCCCTCTGGCCTAATTTAAGATTTTTGTTTAAAATTTAACATACATGATTGCCTTGTGGTCATCTAAAGAGAGTTGTTATATTCCTTTGAAGTCACACTTTATATATGCAAAAACAAACAAACAAAACAAATCCCAGTCGTTTTCAGCTAGGAGTGATTTTGCTTACCAGGGGACTTTGGCAATCTAGAGACAACTTCCTGTTGTCACAACCTCCCTTGAAGCAGACACTATTGGAATCCAGCTGATTGAGGTATGCCACCAACCAATGCACAGATCAGCCTCCAACAACAACTATCTGATCTATAATGTCAATGTGCTGATACTGAAAACCTCTAGTTTATTCAATGCCTTTTTTCATCAATAGTAGGAGCTCCATAGCCTTGATATGTTCCATAATGTGTCATTTTCTTTTAAGAGTAGCGTGCTACCAAAGAGCACAATACTCTTTTGCCTTTCTCCATGTCCACCATAGCTCAATATAGCCTGGCTTGGAACACTGAAACAAGAGCACCTGTACCTCCTCAAAGAACAACCTAGGACAAAAAGTAAGAAAGTCTACTTTACTGGATTGTGAGCTTCATGAGGGCAGACATGTTTCAGAAGCAGCTTTGGAAGCTCCCAGGGGAGAAAAAAAAACATTACTAGTCCTACCTGGCTGTAAAGCCTATGAACCACAAGGATTGACATGGTGAGATATTCTGAGAGTTGCAGTAGTGATACTGACATTTTGAGGGTAACCAACATCCATCCAATTGTACTCAAGACCCCCTCAAACAAGGGAGAATTCCTGTCTGGAACTGTAAACATAGCCAACAAGGTGAGGTCATGTGACAGAGAAAAGAACCAATTACTGCCACCTGCCACTTTCTCAAAGCAGGATGATTTCTAACTGCATTCTAAATACTTATCCTATACCCACAGGTAAGTGCAGCTCTCTTTTTTATCAAAGAAGATGCTTTTTTCAGTAGATGGCGACCAGCACAGAAAACCACAACTGCTCAAAATGTAGGGACCAGTTGACCATGGGTGTCGTCCTCAGCAGATACATCTATAGCACAACTCCTACATGGAAGGCTCAGGGAATACAGTGGAAGAGACAGCAGAAAGGTAGTAAGAGCCAGAGGGTCAGGACATCTGTTTTGTGACAGTCTCATCTCCAAACATAAAAAGACACAAAATTGAAGGGGGCAGGAAAGGAAGGAGAGGGTGGGTCTGGGGGGAGTTTGGAGAAGAGAGGTGAATATTATCAAAATATGCTGTATGTAATTCTTAAAGAATTGGCAAAGTATACTTTTTTAAAAAAGAGTTTGAGGCCGGGCGGTGGTGGCGCACGCCTTTAATCCCAGCACTCGGGAGGCAGAGCCAGGTGGATCTCTGTGAGTTCGAGGCCAGCCTGGACTACAGAGTGAGATCCAGGAAAGGCGCAAAGCTGCACAGAGAAACCCTGTCTCGAAAAACCAAAAAAAAAAAAAAAAAAAAAAAAGAGTTTGAATGAAGAAGAGGTCACAAAACTTGGAAATGTCCATCTGGTTCAATCCTGCAGCATGTTTTTCTAGGAAAGAATTACAACAAAGAGAAAGGGTGTTGATTCTCAGGCTGAATGGATGTTGTTTAGCAAACAGAATTGCGGTTCATCTCAGGAGTAGATTAATATACAAAACCTGCTCTTTTGCCTTTTAAAGGATATTTTCTATTTACCAAAAAGTACTTTTACAAAGTGACTTAATAAATATTCTAATGATAAATTAGGTTCCAGATGGCCAGGATTAACTAGAATGTAGCAAAGGTGTTTGCAAACTAAGTTCTTATGCAAAACATT